ATATTTATGATGAGCAGCAAATGATTTGCAAACATGTCTTATCATCAGGATCCATCATAAAGCATTTATGGAAAATGAATTTCTCTTTAGAAAAGATCTGCCAGTATCATATGCATGCTCTGGTTGCAACTTTCCACTTCAGATTTCTATTCTTCGACATTTATTTAAAGTCTCTTCTGCTCAGAAGGCAATGATCTTTGTTTGATGATGAACTGTGTGAAATTCTCCCCAAGGAGTAGTCTTCAATGGAGTCACTTCTGCTTTGCTGGGAGTCATTTCACCATGTATCCATCACTGTACTTAGACACTGTTTCCTGGGTAACTCCTGGTAACAGGTCATTTGCAACCCAGAGATTATAACATCTCTATCACCCACAAACCATAGTACATGATTCTTCCCTTTCCATAGAGGTGAAAAATTAAAAGTCACTGCCCATTTTTAAGTCCCTATATAATGATCCCTGTGTGTGGATGCTTCTGGTGTTTAGACTGCTGGATAAGTGGTTTTCTGTTGTATTTACTTTTGGAGGCTGGAGTATCCTCTGGTGAAAATGACCCCCATAGCGACCCTTCACCTTCCAGTGACTGATGTGCCTATTGAATTAACACTGGCTTATCTCTATGCATACTCTTGTCATTCTTAGAGGGACAGGTGTCAAGGTGCATGTGTTTACTATGGGATGGTGCCACTGGGCGTTTTTCCACTGAACAATGGCCTCTACTGAGCGGTGCTCTCATGATGCACTGTTACATTTCTGACTACATCTCTCTCCCTGCTTACCTGGAAGGTACATGACTTTGTTATCATTGGTTTCTATAGTTTAGAATTAAGACAAATGGACTTTGTTTTTTTTCTTTTAGTTGATTAATGTTTAAAACAACTGGACTTAAGCTGAAAAAGGAAGTCGGTTTGGTTAGTCAGTGCTTGGGGTGAGTGCATTCATTAGTAAGCACGTATTTACATAAGTTTCAGTGGAAACACATTTGTTTGTACAAATATGGAACAGAATAGAAATATGTTTACAGCATTCTCACTTGGCAACTCAGGAAAAGACTCATCCTGCAGAAACACATACGAATCAACCCTAGTCCTCCTCTCCTCCAGTATTCAGGTCAGCCTGGTTCATTATGGCTCATTTCTAAACGTCAAATTCACCTCTTACATAGAACGCTAGAGGTCATCTGGTTGACCTGATCCAAATCAGAAGCATCTTCCCTGGGATCCCTGACAGATGAACTTCCTGAACAAGTTCAAAGATGGCATTCTTCCCTTCTTAGAAAATGACCGTTGCTTTTCTAAACAACTGTTAGAATGTTCTTTTCATGTTGATGCAAAGTCTGGGTCTTTAGAACCTCTTCCTATCTGTTCTAATTCTATCCTCTGGCACCAAACAAAACAAACATTTCCCTTTTGCCCACAATAGTGCTTCAAACATTTGCAGGAAGCTCTATCATCCATCCTTTGTTTTTGGTCCTGGTAAGTACCTCATTTTTTAAGCAATCCTTTTAAGACATGGTTTCTACTTCTATCACTTCCCCAACCCCACGCAGTTAGCTCGGCCTTGACCTGGGACCTGGCCTGGCGTAGAGGCAAGGACACCTCCTCACCTTGCATTATCCTTTTGGGTTTCCTCTGACATATTGATTGCAAATACTCAGCCAACAATTAAAATCAGAAAGTAATTATTTTTTAATATAAATGTAATTGCTAGGAAGTTAATGAAAATACATCTGATCTTCTGGATACGATCAGTCAGTAGGTTGGGGAGGAGCTGTGTCTTCTGAAGTTTTATATACTTTAGTTACTGTTCCCCCTTTTCTGGAGAGGTGAAGTCTATAACCTCAGCTGGCATTCCGCTAAGGCAGAAGTTCTCAGGGAGAGGTGGGAACAAGCCTGAAAATCTCCATCTCTCCAAAGGGGCAGAGTAGAAGTTTGGAAAGGGCTTCCACATGACTTTGAGATGCACAGATCCCTTTTCTAGAATTGAGAACCACACCCTCGAGGACCTTTAGGGAAAGAGACCTACTTGTTCCTCCTGGGTTCCCGAAAAGAAGTCCTCTTTACAGCCCCGGGAGAACCCACTTATGTTCATTCCTCCACTTTCTCAGAATCTTTAAGAAAAAAAATTTATCTATACACTTCTACAGCTGATTCTGCGTTCTGATGTCCACACAAGAACTGTTTGTCAGGAATGCCGCACCCCATATGGAATCCAGCACCCCGCCTGTCCATGTGCCCAGGCAGTAGGGCCTGCTGTGTCCCCTCCTGGGATGCCCTGCCAATCTGTCCCTTGATGTTTTCAGGGGACCCAAATGATGTCCGGACCCAAATGGTGTCCAGACCCAAGTCCAGAAGGGATTACAGTCGGAGACCATTTTGAAGTTTAATGTCTTGGAACAATTTTTTATTTCAAATTTGTTATTTTAAGCACACATTGTGATTTAATGAGTCTTTGTGGGATTTCAGTTTGTGGTTGAGGTTTGAGAGCTGAGGAATGCATGTTTAATTTTTTTCATCCTATAACCAGTGTTTCATCTTAGACTAAATAGATGCACATTTTAGAAATCCCATAGAATCACTGAGAAAAACATTGATGTTTATACAAATGCTTGCATGTTTGAGTGCATTTAACTAAAAGAAGCAATCAGATATGGTTCCAAAGACTTTGTGGGGCCCTACTAAATCCTTAATTCTCCCTCAGCATTAATTTCTCCCTCATTTCTGCCTTCAGAGAACTTTATGTGGATGTACAGTGCTGGGCTTTATTTGTGGGTACCAGGGTCTCCTCTGTTGATGCTGGTCTCTGTGGCTTCAGCTCATAGCACAGGAAACATTCTCTCCTTGGAGGGAGGCTGAGCTCTGGCTGAATTCTGACGAACAGGTGGAATTTTCATCCTCACGATGGAAGTGGTGAGGAGAACTGGCTAAAGCTGAATGGATAAGGAGACAAAAAGCATAATGGCAGAACTCTGAGAATCCAAAACCACAGCCTTCCTTGGAAGAGAGGGCAGGGCAGAGTGCCTGTTCAGACTCCACGAAGTGTCTACTCAGGCAAGACTACAGTTTCACTTGAAGAAATGTCTCTGCAAACCAGAAAGGTAAAGAACTATTGGCCACACAGGGAAGAATTGTCTAAAAGCTTCTGTTTTGTTGGCTGTGCTCAGTTACTAGAGAACAAATCCGCACTTTATTCATCTCGGGATCAACAGTACAGAGCATGCCAGCCACTACGTGCACAATAAAAGTACATTAAATTTTAATGAATGAAAAAGTGAATGCTCAGGGCAGGTTAGAGAATGCACAAGGATAGTTCCCACAGACTTCTCAGTCACACCAGCAAAATATATGTATGTATATAACAATGTATACATGAACGCCCAGTCATATGCACAGAATTTCTAGAACCAATGATTTCTATTCCCACTACTGGGCATGAGTATGCAAAAAAGTGGCAATATTACCCACGTGGATGTAGAATGTGTACAGAAAGTGAGACATTACTGATAAATAAACACGTCGCAGTGGAAACCTTGATTCCCAAAGCAGAATACAGCCACACAAGAGACTGTTTTTAAAAAAACTGGTGAATTGAACGTCTGGAGATTTTTCCAAGTTCAGTGAATTCTATGACAATTGGAGGATAAATGTATTTTTTGGCACAATGAGACTGTGGGAATAGGTGGGGGAGAGGGTCACTCCCAGGCCCAGCAGCTGGCAGGGAAGTGCAAGCCATTTTAATGATAGCAGAGTGGAGTGCTGTCAGGGTTTCCAAGGGATTTTAATAGTCGTGCGGTCAGAGTTCCCTGAGTAAATAGCTTCCATTTCCCCTCCTGCTGCCAGCTGGCCAAGTCGGGGACCACCTAAGTCGTATGCCCCCAAAGGGAATGGAAAGGCAGGTTCTCCTCTTTGACGATTCTCCCCACCCCCAAAACAACTACTCCTTCTCGGCTGCCTGAAATCCCACCATGAGACAGATATGCCTTTACTCAAGATTCGTTCCTGGTTAAAATTTAAATACTCCTTAGAGGAATAATATTTCAAACCTCTGTCACTCCTTTCAACCTTATTCTTACTTATGAATGGGCTTTAGAAACTGTTTTGAAAATAGGTATTGAGTCAGGGGAGGGGAAGAGAAAAGAAAGGCTCTGGGTTGAAGAGTCCCCCAGACTGTGTTCATGGCCCTGGTCTTGCCCCAGCCATGCCTCTCCCCATGTGCAGCATCCCATCAAGAGGTGAGGGTATTTTCCAGCCCCTAATGCTGAGAGGGCATGGTGACTTGCCTGGGCCAATGGGGCATGCAAGCAGAGCCTTGACAGGCACTTAGCAGACCAGGCTGGATGGCTCTCACACTTTTGCAACTGTCACAAGCACATGCCTGCACCAGCCTGCTAGAGACCAAAAGACACCCAGCCCAAGCCAAGGGGCAGAGGCTGTCCTAGGGCAGCCAAAAGGAGCCAGTCCCTGCAAAGAGAGCGAGTCCACCCAGGTGAGTTGAATCCCTCAGGCTCATGAGCTAAATTGGTGTATATGTCTGTGCACCACTGAGCTTTGGGGGTTGTCTGTTGTACAACATGACTGTGGTAATAACAAGATGATATACTGGAGGAAAAAAGGGCCTGCAGTGGAGAAGCCTGAATGCCATCATGACAAAATGTGCCTCCCTCCCAACTACAAATACATGATCCTGCCTCCATATTTGGGTTGTGGGAAAAATCACAGAAGATGTGAGCATGAGAGCAATGCTGTAGCCGGCCTGCTCTTGACAGCCAGGGAAGACTGACATGTCCTTGACAGCCAGGGGAGATCGGCATGTCCTCCCCCAAATACAGACACGTAGCTCTGTGTCTTTACATCTGCTGTTGAGGGGCCTGAGAGGACCAGGAGGAAGGGATCAAGACTCATGTCATGGCTAGGGTGTACCAGTGATTGTCACATGAGTTGTCTTTATGATCTCAGCCAGTAGGCCTGGGAGTCAGGAGCCTTTTTCTCCATTCTACAGATGAGAAGACTGAGACCTGGAGTAGAGATGAAGTAACTTAACTGTGTAAATCAGGGGCAGGCAAGCATCTTCTGTCAAGGAGCAGAGAGCAGGTATCTTAAGCCTATGGTAGTCTATGGCACAGCAACACAGCTCTGCCATCGTGGCATGAAAGGAACAATAGACCACACCCCCAAAGAATGAGTTTCCCCCAGTAGAAATCATTTATGAATACTGACGTTGAATTTCATATACTTTTTACATATCACAAAGTAATATTCTTTTGATTTTTTTCCCACCATTTAAAAAAGTACAAGCCATTCTTAGCTCACATGATATATAGAAAAATAGGCAGCAAGCCAAAGCTTGCCACCCTCTGAGGTAGACAGAAGGGCTTAGATTCAAACCTATAACATTTTGCAACTGACTAGGAGACCAAAAAAATCTTTGTAGACTTTGGACATTTCTTAGGTTCTGTTGCCTTCATTACTGCTGCTTAGTACCCTTCTATATGAAACATCCGGTAAATGTCCACCTCTTTCGTAGAATAGAATTGGATGCAGCATCCTAAAGTTCTGACACTTGATTTGCAGTTCTCTTGGAATTAACTGGATTCACTCAGCATGGTGTGAGCATGCGTGTGTGAGTGTGTGCTGAGACAGACTTCATGAACTCATAGCACCCCATGAAAGATCACCTGTGTGAGGTAGGTAAGCACTGCTATTATTGCCTCCACATTGCAGATGAGGAAATGGTGGCTTGAAGGAATTAAGCAATTTGTTCAAACTGACTTCATAAGGGGAGCCGAAATCCAGATGCCTGCTCTCCCAGCTCCGGCTCCAGCACCATCCACACCACCCTGCCTCTCTCAGCCATCCTGGGAAGACAAGTGGCTGTCTCGTGAAGCCCTTGCCTGCCACCAGTGCCATCTGAATCACACTCCGCCTGAGGCTGTCCCATCAGAACAGTACAGTAAAATAAATAATCATGACAAGACAAAAGGAGGAGGCCAGGCTGTTTGAAATCATGCATGCAGAGCACACTTTGCAAAAAGGCAGTTCAGCTCGAGGGCCTTGGTGCCACGCTGATGAAGTTCTGATGCTTGGCAGGCCTCATGGCATTCCATGGTCACCTGATTTCCAAGTCCCTCACCATTGTTCCATGTGTCCCAAAGCTGGAGTTTCACCCAGAGACAGGCTAGCAGCCACTTCTGACCCTCGACAGTGCATCTGCAGTCTTCTCTTCCGAACAAAAGTGCAAGCTTCCCTGACCCAGGTTGTCCAAAGGGCTCTTTCTCCACCTTAAGAGAGAGTCTACGTCTCCTCTAGGGATCTCACCACCTGTGGTCAAGGCGCCAATGCCAGAGCCTGGGCACTCTGATGCAACCAGCCTCATCAGGACCCTTTGCTTCCCGTTCACAAAGCATGAAACATACACGGAACTGTGCATTTTCTAGGCGCTTTGCTCTCGTATGTAACACAGGTGCATTGAATATCCACATGTGCTATAAAGCAGGATTCAGAAACCCGAGTCTCTATTGCTGCAAGCCTCCATTTCTCAAACTTGCAAGTGTGGATGAGATGTTCCATGGCTGAAACTAAGTTTCCCTCTCCATAAAATGAGCAGTTGTAGTCATATCTGTGACAGTATTTAAAAAACTCTAAAGGCCACTTGTAAGTAAGCAAATTTTATATTAAACCCACGAAGGGTCAAGGAGGCTGTGAGCAAACTGAATCCAATTGGGGTAAAATCCGAAACCCCTGGGCCAGCCTTCCAGGTCCCTAGGGGAGGCAGCAAGACCGTGGAGTAGGGTCCCTGCTAGGTACCCATGCTGCAGGCTCTCCAGTGGCGTGCATTACTTCCCTTCTCCAGATGATTTCAATGCTGGTGCACACAGTGTTTTGAAAACTGCAGCCACTACCTCTTTGTGACTAGTTTCTACAGCATAGCTAACTCTTTCCTACTGAAAACAGGTTGAAGGAGTTATAAAGTCTAGGCCAGGTGCAGTGGCTCATGCCTGTAAGCTCAGCACTTTGGGAAGCCAAGGTGGGCAGTCCACCCAAGCTCAGGAGTTTGAAACCAGCCTGGCCAACATGGCAAAACTCTGTCTTTACTAAAAATACAAAAATTAGCCAGGCGTGATGGCAGGTGCCTATAATCCCAGCTACCAGAGAGGCTGAAGCAGGAGAATCACTTGAACTGGGGAGGTAGAGGTTGCAGTGAGCTGACATTGCACCACTGCACTCCAGCCTGGGTGACAGAATGAGACACTGTCTAAAAAATAAATAAATAAAATCAAAAGTCTGCTGGGCAAATAATACATGATGTTTAAAAGGACATGCCTGTTTATTCCTTGTCTATCAGGAGCATTCGGTTAGTCGTTACACATGTGTGATTTTATCTCAAGAAATGAAGCAGTAATGAAAAGGATGTTAACCTTTTCTTTAGTCTTCTTTGCTCTCCAGGCTCTGAAAGCCCCACAGTCTGCCTGTGAAGTCCACCTGTGCTACGCGCCCTCTGCAACCCAGCACTGCCATGTCGGAAAGAAACATTCCAGCTTCCACAAAATGGCTTTGCCCTTCTGAGCAGATCTGATGGGGTATTTTCAACATGCTTATCAAGGTGTCAAGTCAGAACAGCTGGAATGAGGCCAGATAATGGCAGAACTTTCTCTCGGAAAATATCTTACAGGTCATGGAGTGGTTATTGAAGGCCGTGATGGGTTGGATTAATATGGACTTGTTTGCACTTGGAAGGATTACTGAGGCAGTGTGTAAATGATGGGTTTAGGGGAATAAAAACATCAGAAAGATCTGTTGGGAATCTACTTAAATAACCCAGCACAGGAGAGATGACAGCTTAAACCAAGAGAAGTGGGCCGGCAATGGAAGAGTAGGTTTGATGGCTACTTAGGGAAAAGCGATTGATGGGACTTGCAGCTTGGTTGGACGTTGAGGGGAAAGAAGAAGGAAACCTCTGGAGCTTCTGCATTAGGTAAAGCGGGGAAGGTTGTGAGGTTATCCGTCAGAGGGAAAATGAATGGAAAGCCAGTTTATGGAGCAAGAAGACGTGTTCTGTTTTGACATTGAAGTGTTTTGGAGACATCCAACAAGAGGAGCCCAGTGAGCATTTGGGGAGGACCTGTCATGCCCAGAAGGGAGTAATCAGCTCTCGGGTGGTAGCAGAAGCCAGGGAGTTAAACCGAAGCACACAGGAAGATTGGATGCTGTGAGAAAATAAGGCCACAGATGAAGCCATAATGAATCCTAACATTTTGATGACATGGACACAGGAACAAAAGACTGCAAAGTGGGCTGGGATCTGTGAGCCCAGAAAACAGAAGTTCCACTAGAGTCAAGGGAGGCTGGAATGTCACATTGGAGGTGTCTGGTAGCGTCCAATATTGCAGAAGGTGTTAAGAAGCACCGAAAAGTGTCTGCTGGAATTTGCCATCCAGAAGGTAATTAAAACTTGATGACAGTACTTCTAGTTGAGAATTGTCTCTATGTGTTGTTCACTAAGATTCTGTGAGGTTGGATGGGTGGCAGCCATTTGTAAGGCTCATCTTTTAAAGAAGTTTAACATTGAAGTTCCATATATGCCTGTTTCATAGAAATATGTCTATATCTATATATATAGATACAGATATATATAGAAATCTCTAGTAACATATTCCTTTTTTAGGCAAGTTATGTTTCAGTTCAATATTATTGAGATTTTATGTCTTTTTTATTTCCCTCCAAATTGAAGCGTGGTGAAATTGATGTGATGCACGTCAAGCCAGTGATGATCACGTTTAGGAATTAGGCTCAGCTCTAAATGAGTAATGCTAATGTTTGTTGAAACCTTGAAGCCCTGACTTTCCATTCAGAGGAACAGCAGTGAACTTGATCTCCTCTTTAACTGTGTGGGCCACTGCCAAAGCCCTGCAGCCAGCAATCCCGCAGTCTCTCCTGCTGAATTAAGTGGCCGATGGCTGACACGGCCTGGTATTTGGGGTGGGGAGGTAGGAAATAATAAGCAGTGATTTCATTTGTTCCTACAGGTCGCAGCTGCTGTGCTGGGTCCTTCCTTGGGGCCTGTGTCAAGTGCTGAGGACCCTGCTGGGATAGGGGAGGCAGCTCCTGCTCAATTGCTATGGTGATGAGTGTGACATGTGGAATATAAAAGTCCCCTAAATGTTTACATGCTACAATGTGGCATTTTAATAGGTAAAAAATTAAAATCTATACTTTTTCTTTCTTCAAAGACAGCTTAAAATGGCCCCTGCAAAATGAATGGAATGAGCTAGGTGTGGAACTCCAGGCATAGCTGGCACTAACATGGGCTGTTCATTAACATTTCAAGCACTGCCAAGAGGTGGATCTTCACAGCTGAAATAAGTAGTATGTTGTGATAGTCCTATTGTGAATTCTTCACTGGCTACTATAATCTTTACTGAAGCCCAAACCACTTCTAAATAACTTCACCTTATATTGTTCCAAAAAGCAAGAAAAGCTATCTATTCGAAGCCAGTTTAAAGGGCCGTGATTTGCTTCTGACCTGCACTGGGAGTGTGCCTCTATGTTCAGCTCACATGCATTTGCAGACACACTCCCGCTGGCTGCCAGGATCTGAAATCCACTAATGGGTCCTTACGTCATAACTGAGGACAGAGGTGTAACAAGATTAAAATCTCACGACTTTTCTTAAACTTCTTTTAGGGTAAGCTCTCGAAACGTTGGCCTCAAAAATCAGTTGTGTCACTGTCACTCTTGGAATTTGAGAGTCCAGAGTCTAAAAACCAGAAAGGTGGTTTGGAGCTGGGTTCCTGGCCTCTAGAGCCTTTCCAGAATGGGATGGGCACGTGCCCTGGGCACGGATGACTTCATTCCCCAAAGACTGAACCAAGAACTTCAAGGTTCAACTGACCATCTGGCTTATTTTATCCACAGTCTATTTTCATTTGTTAGAAGAGACACAGTTCCTTTTTTAGCTCTGTCTTATTCTGACTAATTCAGTTAGATCAGCCCTCAAATATACCATGTGATTAATACAGACACATCATTTTATTTTTTTTATTTTCGATCTCCCTTCACGTGGCTCTAATCATTTTTATTCTTGAAGGGCATAAATCAAACTTTTGAATTTCTAATAAAATAACTTTTCTTTTTTTAAATTAAAACTTGCCTTTTGATTTCCTGTTTACTTATTTATTTAGAGAAAGCAGGTAAAATGTATTGACAATTTAAAATTTTGAAAAATGCACTATAGAAGTTTGGCCATGGACGTATATTAAACCTGGGCTTTATTTCACATTTTTCAGCACATACGGAACAATTGAAATGATTTGATCTCAAGAAAAAGGTTAAGAAATGTTAACTATTTTAATCATAAAGACTAACTTTGGTACTAATCCTATTTTAAAATAGTATATTAGGCGATTTCAGATATTAAGAAATTTAAACTGAGCAGTATTTTGAATATTTAGTTTTTCAGACTAAAAGACAGTGGCTTTCTGGGGATTTATATACCAGTGTGAACACGATAAATAACAGCAGTTCACAGAGCGCTCTCAGGACTTTACCACCCACTTTGGTATAAACTGAACAAAGTTTGTCAGAATCATTCTCAGAAAAGTTGGTAGCTTTGAGATTTTAAGTTTAAGAAAAAACTGAAAGCAGGTTTTCTGTTTTGTCTCCATGCAAACACTTTTCCTAGGCAGCTGTGCTTTGGAGTTGTAAGGACTCTGGGGCGGGATGCAGCCCTTAGGGGGTGCCCAGGGCTGATGGAGGGGGCAGTCGGCCTCCTCCCTTCCCACCAGGTTCAGCTCCCATCCCAGCCTCCAGAGTCCCAAGAGCTTTGGGTACATGGGGATCACGTGGGGCGTGGGTACTAACAGACCCCTCTGAAGGTTAGGAGTGGAAGTTTGTGGCATAAGCCAACAGTCTCCCCAGCCCTCACTCAGACAATGCACTAAGCGGGAGGGACACAGGCTTGGGACATGAAGGCGAGAGGTGACAAAAATAATCTCTGAGCAGGCTGGGAGCCGACATCACAAAGGATTCTGCGAGGTTTTGGAATAGCTTATGCCTTATTTCCCATCAAATTTGGATTAGCTGTGGCAAAGGAGGAAAGAGAACAAATAAAGGAAATCCAGAGATAATCCTCAAACCTCCATTTGAGCTAATAGTTTAAATTCCTGCTATGCCAAGCCAAGCTTCTGTGTTTACCAGAGTTGATCATGAGAGGCAGAGTAAACCAGCCTCACTCTAACCCCTTCCTGCATGGCCCCTGCTCAGCCTGTGGGTGCATTTGCTGGAGACATCCTGAATGTGGATAAGTCTGTCTCAGCCCCACTTGGGAGTGGGGTGACATAGGGGATATGGGGAGAGGACCCACCCCAGCAGGCACCACCGGCTACTGGGAGACGCTGAGGGAGACTGCTCCAGGCCAGCAGTGCTGGACCCGGCAATGCATGGGGCAGGTGGAACATGCCCAACCAGCCAGGGAGGACAGAGCCTGCAGAGGCTGCCTAGGGGCATTGCTGAGCAAAGATGACCAAGGCCCAGCCTAGACACAGCCAGAGGGCTGTGTGCCGAGAACAAGGGGGAGGAGCTAAGAAACCCAGACACTGGGGAGGCAGGCAGTGCTGAGACAGGGGTCTCCTTTCCCCCCTCTTTCCCTCCCTCTTTTTCTCTTCTTGTCCCCCATGCCAGCTCTTTCTCTCTCCTCCTTTCTCCCTTTCCCACTCTCCCTCTCCCTCTGTCTTCCTCTCTCTCCCTCTCCTTCTTTCTCTCTTCCTCTCTCCTCCTTCTCTCCCTCTCTCTGTCTCCCTTCTTCCCTTTCCCTCTCCTTCTTTCTCTCTCACTCTCTCCCTTTCCCTTCTTCCCTCTCCCTCTCCTTCTCTCTCTCTTTCTCTCTCCCTTTCCTCCATCTCTCCTCCCCCTATCCTCCTCCCTCTCTCTCTCCCTCCCATTCTCTCTCCCTCCACTGACCCTGACTCTCATTGTCTGGCCCTGACTCTCACTGTCTGGCCCCTACTCCCTTTCTCCTCTGGACACCCACTGTCTTAAAACAGCAGGCCTCGTGGCAAAACCAGTCCCTCACTGGAAGTGGACTCAGGGGTCCAGCCCCAGCCTGATGTGCAGTAGCCAAAGGCTATCTTCCCCATGCAGACACAAAGCTCTGAGATGCCCTCTCCTTGGTTAGCCCCTTGTGACATGGCTTCATGGACTTTTACTAATCTTCTCAAATCACTGTTTTCTGAGAGGAAACAATCACTCAAGGTCTAGATCTGGGCTGTAACTCAGCAGTGTTGCTAAGGAAATTGTAGACCTTGGACACGTCACTTGGCTGCTAGGTCTCTTCTGCCTCATCTGCAAAGTGGAAATAAAGTTAGCCCATCTCACGAGCTCACAGGTTTACTCTGGCCTGAGCAGTGCATCCTTCCTGTCTAAGAAACACACCAGACATCTGTTCCCAGGGTCCCAGCCTGCCCGCCTGCCTTCCTTCCTTCCTTCCTTCCTTCCTTCCTTCCTTCCTTCCTTCCTTCCTTCCTTCTTCCTTCCTTCCTTCCTTCTTCCTTCCTTCCTTCCTTCTTCCTTCCTTCCTCCTTCCTTCCTTCCTCCTTCCTTCCTTCCTTCCTTCCTTCCTTCTTTCTTCATTCCTTCCTTCCTTCTTCCTTCCTTCTTCCTTCCTTTCTTCCTTCCTTCTTCCTTCCTTCTTCCTTCCTTTCTTCCTTCCTTCTTCCTTCTTCCTTCCTTCCTTCCTTCCTTCTTCCTTCCTTCCTTCTTCCTTCCTTCCTTCCTTCCTTCCTTCTTCCTTCTTCCTTCCTTCCTTCCTTCCTTCCTTCCTTCCTTCCTTCCTTCTTCCTTCCTTCCTTCCTCCTTCCCTCCCTCCCTCCCTCCCTCCCTCCTTCCTTCCCTTTCCTTTTCCCCATCTCTTTCTTTCCCTTTTCCTTTTCATTCCTCATAGAAGTACCTCTGGCCATATGAACACTGAAGCTTCCAGCATCTGCCACCCCATTGATAGTCTCATGCTTTTTAATTCTTTTCCATTAGGTAACAATTTTATAAATGTGTTCTGGGGAAAAAAAATTTAAAGATTAAATGATGTAAATACAATGAAACAGTGTACAGAAAATTCAGACACTTAGAATACACATATGAATTGGCAAGTGATTATTAAGGAACTGGAATCTTCTAGGGGGCACACGAGATAAAAAGGACAGATTGGGCCTCAAATCTCACATAGTTTCAACAGGACTTTCATACAGATCCTTCTAGTAAGGGGATGTCCTGGACAGTCCTGGAAGGACATTTCTAACCACCTCGAGTTCTCTTCCTTTTGGTATCTGAAATGCTTCTGCCTAAAAATGAGCCCTAGTGGGCTCCTTACCAACGGCTAATAATTTCACTCTTAAATCAGTATTCTCTTTCTGAAAAAATAACAACCCAGCCTGTGAGTGAAGCCCTAATCCCATAAGAGTTCCTAGTTCAAAGGCACGACTCATCCTACTGTGTTATTTTGAGGACAGAAAATGGTCTCAACCCTTCCCAGTCTTCCGGAGGCCCTCACCCTTCCCCCCACACTCCTCCACCGCCTCACCCATCAGTCCAATAGCCTTTAGACAATTGGCTTTCCTTAGCCCCTTGGGAGAGGGGTGGACGAAGAAGAAGATAGCACTGCCCACCCACAAAGCTTTCAGAAGGATGAGCTCCTGGCTGCAGAAAGCATGGGGCTTCTCCACTGGGCAGCGCAGCTCATGGTTCACTAGTGCAACGGCACCATCCTTAGTTGATGTCCCCAACCTCATTACCAGCTCTCTGACCCCAGGGCTCATAGCCACTTACACAAAGGGTCATAGGCCTGAAATCAGAGCACTGGGCTTCTTCCTAAGGGAGCAGGCAAATGTTCCTGGCAGACAGCAGAGCATCAGGGGTTCCTGAATGAGCACTGGTGTCACTGAAACACAGATGGAATTGTCCCATCAAACACATCACAGAGGAGTCCTTGGAGGTAGTTCTCCACCAGGAAAGTTGAAGCAGCTGTTGGGTAAAAAGAAACAGGATGTGACGTCTTTTGTCTTCTCTTTCCTTGTTTTAGGGCATCAGATGCAGCATATCCACAGAATTAATACGGAATTTTCTTATTATCGTAATTATTATTCAGATATTTTTGAAGAAACACAGTGATGACCCAGGCCTGAGGACCTCAACTAGTATTTTGTTGTTCTTACATGTCACCAGGAGACTCACGCAAGCAATCTCACAAAAAGCAATTCATGACAATGGAAACCACCACCAGTTACTGAGAAAGGATCTCTTGGGTTTTAAAAGATCGTTTCAATCTTTGAAGTATTTCCTTTGTGAGGCCAGTTTGGTGTCCCTTGAAGGACTTTTTATAAAACATGAGACTCCCTCCACATTAGGCATCTGAAATCCAACCTTTTTTTTTTTTTAAGTTGCAAAAGACATTTTTTTGCAGACCATCTGTTATTTAGTAACGTGCAAATTACCAATAAATAATTCCAGATTCCTTTTTTTGCAAGCATAGCTATAAACAAACTGATCCACATGCAGAAATGGAAGTCATTTTCTCTTTGAAAATTCATTAACTTCTGCACGATTGGAAGAGATCGGGAGAGAAGCTTCCTGGCAGATGCTGATGAGTGTTATTACTGTACACAAATAACAACATGAGGCCAAACATGGACATTCTTTGGGAATCTTCCTCTTGCTTAGCATTCACTTGAGTGGTCTCACCATATGGGGTTTGTATGTGTGACTATAAAACCCTTTAAGATGGATTTATGTGTAATAATCTCATTTGTTCTTTTAGCTGGTTAAAACATTAGCAAACTATGATTCTTCTCCTGTGAAACAATAGAGAATCACAATAAAAATTGCATTTGACTTTTTTATTCCCAAAAAGTTATTGGGAAACCAAATTTCATAAGTGGTTCACCAAACGAGCCACTGCCATTGCATAGGCAGAGACATTTGGATTTGTGTCCTTGCTGGGATGGTTTAAGGGAAGCAGAAGGAAAGTGGTAAGAAGAGTCATCGCTGAGAAAATTGCAGCTCTCAGTTGATGAACTGTCTATTTCTTGGAGCAAAATCAAATTTTCAAGGCCAGCGTCAGGCAGAATTAGGAACTGGGGCAAGTTCTTCTGGACTGACTCTGTTCCCTTCTGCAGGATGCTCTTGGAGTTCTGATTATCTCATACTCTTAATGTCAAGGTTAAAAACAAATAACTTTGTTTTACCTTATTTTCAGTAAGTGTTTTTTTAATTCAAAGAGAGGCTCATTCAAGATTGCCAAAGTACATCTGAACTCACTGAGAAAGAGTAACCACCCAGGCATGGTGGAGTAGCTTCGCCAGAAGAATGCTCCTATAGATAACATTTACAGAATCTGTACAAAATGCTACCCCCAAAATTGCAATTAAAAGCCACTGAAGAGCTACCAAAAGCAAACAGAAACTATAGGAAATTTGACCTTTGAAAGATGAAAATTAAACTGAGTAAATGTCTTAGTTTTCTATTGAAGCACAACAAATTATCACAAATGTAATGGCTGAAAAAATAGGAATTTATTATCTTATAGTATCTGCATATCAGGAGTCTGGATATGTGTTAGCTGGGTCCTCTGTTCAGGGTCACATCAGACTGAAAACAGAGTGACAGTCAGGGCTGCCATTTCATCTGAGGCTTGGGTCTCCTTTCAGCCCACTGGCTATTGGCAGAATTTACATGTTTGTAGCTGTAGGACTAAAGCCCTCAGGTCCTATAGGATGCTCATGGAGCCCTGCCAGATGGCACTCACCAGATGTGGAAGCTGCTTCTTCAAGGACAGTAGGAGTGTTCCTGCTGCTTCTAATCTCTCTGATTTCTGTTCATGTGATTAGGCCAGACCCACCCAAGATAACCTCCCTTTGGTTAACTCAATGTCTGTCAGCTGATTAGGAACCTTAATTACATTTACAAAATTCCCTCACTGTTCCTACATAATCAACCTCATTACACAAGTGAAGTCCTGTCATAATGAAAAGTCTCACCACACTCAAAGAAAAGAGATTAGTCAGCACATGTGTGCTTGGGGCAGGAATCTTAGGGCCATCTTAGAACTTGGGATTCATGCATTTTGCCTGGTGACACTTTCTACTTTGCACTGCAAGTACAGAAAGTCTTATAAGTAAGGAGTCAGAAGCCACAGTTCAAGTCCGACAAGGTAACTAGACAATTAGAAGGAAAATCCCAGATGAAAGGAAACTTTAAGAGGGAGTGAGTCCATCAATCTGCATGTAAACTCTTCCCAGATATTAAACCCTCTTTACCATTGGACCATGCATGTGCATGTGAGACTTCAAGAGGCTAGGCAAGCAGAGCAGCTGGAGGCTGAAATAATCCAGTGATTTCAGCTGCTGGATATCACAGGAGAGACCATTTGACAACCTGCTACAACAAGGCTTGATATGTTTCAGAGGAACATAATTAAATCCAGAGTCTCTACATGTATTTATAATATTCAGTATACAATAACCAATTAGTAGAAATACAAAGTAACAAACAAATTGTGACCCATACTCAAGAAAAAAGTCAATAAACACCAATTCCAGGATGACCTACATATGAAATGAGGAAGCAGAGACTTTAAAGCTGCTCTTATAAAGTTTCAAGAGCTTAAAAGGAATATTCCAGTTCCACTCCATTTTGTTTACATTTGCCTGCTATCTCTTTGCTTATTCAGTTATTTTAAATCCTTCTTTGTTATCTAAAATACAGGGAAACTTCAAGAGAGATTTTGACCAGAACATATATATATATATATATATATATATATATATATATATATATATATATCTCAGCAAAATCTTGATGTTTGGGAGAATAAAGAGGAAAGAAAGGAAGTAAACAAAGATGAATGATATGGTTTGGGTCTGTGTCCCCACCGAAATCTCATCTCAAATTGTAACGTCCACCTGTCAAGGGAGAGACATGGTGGGAGGTGACTAGATCATGGGGTGGTTTCCCCCATGCTGTTTTCATGATAGTGAGTAGGTTTCTCCCTAGATCTGATGGCATTAAAGTGTGGCACTTCTTCATTCACTCTGTCACTCGCTCCAATTGCCATGTAACGTATGCCTTGCTTTCCCTTTACCTTCTGCCATGATTGTTAAGTATCCTGAAGCCTCTCCAGCCATGCAGAACTGTGAGTCAATTAAACCTTTTTTGTTGATGAGTTACCCAGTCTCAGGTAGCATTTTCATAGCAGTTAGTCTGAGAACAGACTAATACAACAACCAAATGTCTCATATGGGAATGAGTGAGAAGTTGAGGAGAGGGTGAGTGGGATTGTCAAAGGATTATAAAGCTCATGAACACCAGAAAAGGTAAAATAGCCATTAACCAGAGAGAAAAGGAGCAGAAAAATGAAACCAGATTGTATGAACAAACATAAGAAAAAGTAACAAAATAGAAGAAATAACATTAAATTTTACTTTAATTAAGTTTCTAATTTTTAGCGTCTAGCTAAAATCTCTCTTGAAGTTTTCCTCTATTTTAAACCTAGTTAGGTTTTGTTGTTTTTATACACCCTGGAGATATCTGATATTCAATAGATTTTAGTCTTTTATGTCTATTGTAATATTAATTTTTTAAAACTAATTTTCTATATTTTGGGGCAAGATATTTTAATAATTTTAATTTAATGGAGATTATTTAATTTAGTGGGGACTATAATAGATAGGGACTATTAATTCCTTCAGTGTCTATCAAAAACTCAAGGAATTAATAGTCCCCATCCATTAAAAGATGTTGTAAAGGCAAAATTAGACACTTGCTGAATTTTAATCTATTTAGGATTGAACAGAGTTTTGATTACCATTTCCACTAATTTAAAGGTTATTAGCCCACTTGAAGTTTCTTTTTTCTTTTTCATTTTTCTCGTAATATATTAATTTCATCTAGGTTTTCAGATTTATTGGGGCATAGCCACTATATTAGTTTGTTTTTGCATTGCTATAAAGAATGACCAGAAACTGGGTAATTTATTTTAAAAAAAGGTTTAATTGACTCACAGTCCCACAGTCTGTACAGAAAGTATGGCTGGGGAGTCCTCAGGAAACTTACAATCATGGCAGAAGATGAAAGGGAAGCAGGCAATTCTTACATGGCAGGGGAAGGAGGAAGAGAAGTGGTAAGGTGCTACATACTTTTAAACAACCAGATCTTGCGGGATCTCACTCGCTACCATGAGAACAGCAAGGGGATGTCTGTGCCCATGATCCAGTCACCTCCCACCAGGCCCTGCTCCAACACTGGAGATTACAATTTGATGTAAGACTTGGGCAGGGACACAAATCCAAATCATATCAGCCATCCATAATATCCTTTCGTAATTTTGTAAAAAGTTTATTGTATCTAAGATTTTTTCTCATAGTTGTTCTGAATTCGGTTTCTTTGCATCTTCTCTCTTTTCTTCTTGATCACTTTTGCTAGCAATCTCACTCATTTGCTTTTTAAAGATTCAGCTTTTGGTTTTGTTATTTTTCTCTATGAGATTTTGTTCTAAGTTTTAAAATTACTAACCCAAACATTTATTCGCACAACTAACGTTGTTCAGACCCCAGGGAAATACTTGTCCATATCTTTTACCCTATGCCCTGGAATAAAAGGCGACTATTTAAAAATGCCGTGAAAGTGTGTGGCTCATGCTACTACTGACTTTAGAGAAGGACATTGTGTTGGAGTGTTTGAATCATGTTAGCAATGGAAGAACTTAACTAAGAAAAACTAAAAATTATTTGCCTTGTCAAATCCTTCCTATCAGAGAGCACAAAGGGCAGTTGATTCTTTTTTTTTTTTGAGGCAAGGTCTCACTCTTTCATCCAGAATGGAGTGCAGTGGGTGTGATCTCAGCTCACTGCAACTTCTACCTCCTGGGTTCAAGCGATTCTCCTGTCTCAGCCTCTCAAGTTGTTGGGGTTACAGGCATGTGCCAAAACACCTGGCTAATTTTTTTTCTGTATATTTAGTAGAGGTGTAGTTTCGCCATGTTGGCAAGGCTGGTCTCCAACTCCTGGCCTCAAGCAATCTGCCCTCCTCGGCCTCCCAAACTGTTGAAATTACAGGCGTGAGCCACCATGCCCAGCCAAAGGCAACAGATTCTTGCATAACACATTGTTATGTAGTAATAGAAATGAACATGATTTTTCTGTGGTTTTGTTTTACTTCTCTTGGTTTTCTATGTTGTGGTTCCAAAGGTCATCACAAGTTAGTATTTATTTGTAAAAGTTGGACACATAAATTTAAGGAACATTTTGTAATACGGAAAAAAAATTTTGTGTTTCTCTCAAGTTTGTTAATATGTTGATTGAAACATAATGTTAGAAATTAAATAAGATTAAAAGAATTTTAAAATATTTAATGATATTTATTTACATTTTAATTAGAGTACTAATATTTATTAACTGTAATTTGTATTTTGCGTTTGAATATTGATAATTTTTAATATTTTGAAAAAATAACATTTTGAAAAATATATAAAAAATTTCAAATGCTTTATTTTGTCATTTACTTTATGTACATTCAAATATTGATGAAAACACATTTATATCTTAAAACAATGACGTATTAACCCTTTAGATTACTAGAAATTAATATAAATAGTGATTACAATGGAAATAAAAATGAAAATAGACCTAAGAAAGAAAAATGCAGGAAAAAATTAACATTTTCAAAAAGGAAGTATGCTTATATGGTTAAAAACCAGAAAAAATAGTCTGGGCACAGCGGCTCAGGCTTGTAATCCCAGCACTTTGGGAGGCCAATGTGGGAGGATCACGAGGTCAGGAGATTGAGACCATCCTGGCTAACACAATGAAACCCGTCTCTACTAAAATTACAAAATATTAGCTGGGTGTGGTGGCACACACCTGTAGTCCCAGCTACTCGGAAGGCTGAGGCAGGTTAATCACTTGAACCCAGGAGGCAGAGGTTGCAGTGAGTCGATATCTGCCTGGGCAACAGAGCAGAACTCCATCTCAAAAAAAAAAAAAAAAAACCCAGAAAAAATAGAAATAATCTGATATTTTACTGAACACAA